GCCCACTACAGCAAGTTTACAGCAGTCTGAGGCAGCTTGCCTGAAATAAAAGCAAGCAAAAAGAGGTGTGTATATGCAGCTCAGTAGTAGAGTGATTGCCTAGGCTGTGGGAAATCCTGGGTTCAGTTCTCAGTATAATTGGGGGTTTGGGCAAAAGTAGGTACAATAAAGAGATACTTAAGTCACAGACATCCCAGGAAAAATATTCATTTAAAAAACACAAAATGGGTACATTTGGGAATTTTTAAACTGTGAAAACAAAATTAAGACTAATGTATCAGAATTGAGCTGCACCAGTCATCTTCTCTGTAGAACAAGAGGCCTGCACAGCAAGAGGTAGAAAAAATATGAAAGAAAATACAAACAAATGTTCATAATAATTTTCTGTTGATTGACTTTGTTCAGAGAAGCCGATAGGAAAGCATATTCATAAAACTGCTTCTCCCTAGGGAAGAAAAAAGCATCTTAAAAATACTCTGCACTAAAAAATACTCTACACGTAAAACTTTAGAACTAAATATGTGAGTGTGCGGGTGCTAGAGACATAGTTCCTTAAAAGCCTGAAGTATGGTGGTGCACCTGGACAGCTTCTGAGAACTGACATAAAAAGCTTCTGGCCTTTGTATGCACAGGTGCATAGGCACCTACATATACATGCACTCCTGTGTACATAGGAACATGCATGTGCACACACATATATACACACATCCCCAAAATCAACTAAAATGGGGGTTCTGAATCCAAAGAATTTTAGAACCTGAGTTTAGATGGATTTGGTATTGGGCACTATTGTCCAGGAAAGCAAATAGGACTGAACTTCGCATATCACTTTAGCTCCAGTTTGGTACAGGGACATGATAAAGAATGACCTACACTCAGAATGAACTCTTACAGTGGCTTATAACCATAAAACAATGCTTAGGAGTCTGCTCTAGGACTTCATTTATAATGATGGCTAAATCAGTTTCATGCTGAAACACTGTTCAAACTATCAAGACAGGCTCTTCCCATGTAGCCCTGCCTGGCCAGGAACCTTGCTATATAAATCTGTGTCAGTTCTCCTACCTTTTCCAACCCAGTGCTAAGGTTACATGATTGTGCTACTCTATACCCTTTTTGTTATTGGAAAATATTTATCTGCCTCATATTATTACTCATTTCCAGCCCATGCTCTTTTCTTGTCTTTGCTTATTAAAAAAAAAAAAATGGTATTTCACTAAACACACAGTCTTCCTTGTCTATGGATTCAACCAACCATAGATCAAGGATATTTAGGGAAAATTACAGATCTATACAACACAGGTATGACTTCCCCTTGTTATTTTTCCATAAATAATATACTACAACAACTGTTCCAATGACATTCACTTGTACTAGGCATTCTTCTTAGTATTCTAGAGGTAATAGGATATGGAAGGACTTAGAAGTGACATCTTATGTCACCTTATGTGACAGGATGTGAGCATCCATGGAGTTTGTTAGCCACAATTGGCCTTGGAATCAGTTCTCCATGAAAACAGAAATGGTACTACAGAAAGACAAGATGTAAAAGGTGGCCATCTTTCTGGGTTTTAGATTCTAGAGATGGTATTGTGCCCTCAAATAGTTTTCCCAATGATTATATTTTAGATGTATGACTTTTAAAGATTTCCTAAAACCTAATGTATTTAATAACTATAAATATAACATGACATCACATTAACTAAAAATACACACAAAATTATCAGTGAGAATTGAGACTGTGGGTGACATTATTTTTCTAATTATATATTAATTCTCTGATATAAAAAGACTGACTTCATTAAAAGAAAAATATCAGAAGCTTGAATCATCCAATAATTGATTTACACATGTTAGAAGAAGTAAGTAATGAGGAAGACAAGGCTAGGCAGGCTCTTCAGGCAAGACAAACATGAGAACTAGCTTTCCCCTTCATTGCTACTTACAGAGTTCTCTCTTTAGTTACAAAACACACCCATCACTAAATTTGAAGATTTTAAACTTGTCTCTGAAAGATCTTGCCCTTTCAGGTTTTCTTTAAATTTTATTTTCCAGGATCCCACTAATGTTAAGTTTCTAAAAGGCTCATACTCCCCCAGTGTGGTCAGTTCTGTCACTCTAATACTTTAAATAGATTTGATTGCAAGTCTTGGGAGACTTCTTTGTTCCAAAGTATTTAAAGATGATGGTGTTAAATGTTTTTGTTTTTGGTTTTCCCTGTACTCTGGTTCTATTTTAGACTTCTCAGCCCATGCAACTTTTGGTTTTAGAACTCTCCTACATTTAAGAAAAATTTGATGAATTCATAACAAATGGTGTACACAAACTTGCTGTGAATATCGTTCTATATAAATAAAACACTGATGGCCAGTGACCAGGCAGGAAGTAGGTGGCCAGGCAGGAAGTAGAGGGGACAAGGAGAGAGGAGAATTCTGGGAAGCAGAAGGCTGAGGAGAGAGAGACTGCAGCCACCGCCAGGACAAGCAGCATGTGAAGATGCCGGTAAGCCACCAGCCACGTGGCAAGGTATAGATTTATAAAAATGGGTTAATTTAAGATAAAAGAAGAGTTAGCAAGAAGCCTGCCACAGCCATACAGTTTATAAGTG